AAGGAAAGACCGCAGATTGCCATATGTTGCTTAGAATGATTAGGTAAATTAAAATGTCTAGCGACTGGTTTCGATGTGTCCTTGTCATTCCTTTCCACGTCTCGAAGGTGTTCTCGGAATCGGTCACCTAGTCTTCTGCCTGTTTCGCCGATGTATATCTTTTTGCAATAAGTGCAAGTTATGCAATAGATTACATTGGCGGAGGTGCACGTGAAGTGATCGGTGATCTTAATGGATCGTTTAGGTCCCGATATTTTATCAGTGTTGTGAATGAAAGGACACGTTTTGCATCGTGCACGAGCGCATTTAAAAGTGCCTGGTTGGTCATTAGTCTGAAAAGAACTTCTGACCAAAAAATTGCCTATGTTTTTGTCGCGTTTGAATGAAATGAGCGGAGGCTGCGAAAAGATAGTGCTTGTCTCTGGATCGTTTTGAAGTAATTTAAAGTTTTTAAGAATGATGGATTTAACTGAGTGGTTGTGAGGGTGAAACGTGAGAGTGAATGGAATGCGGTCGGAATCTTCCTTATGCGACGTTTGTAGTGCTGAATGTCGATCAATAAGTTGGGCGCGGTGGTAACCCGCTTGAACGACAGAAACAGGGTAACCACGTTTATCGAAAAACTGGCACATTGACTCTGATTTGTGGTGGAAATCAGAGTCATCACTGCATAAACGACGAAGTCTTAGAAACTGAGAAAAAGGAATGGAATTCTTAACGTGAGATGGATGCGAAGACGAATATAACAAGTAATTATGCGAGTCTGTAGGTTTGTAATACACACTAGTGCATAAACCGTTACCTTCAATTGAAACTTTGATGTCTTCGCTCCGACGAAGGGCTAACGCTCGAAACGTCAGCTTTTGTAATCGTTACGGTGGCCAATTTACCACTTCAACTTTGTTGATATATCCAAATTATTTAAATTTAGTTTAGAGTTGCATGATCAGATTTCCCACAACAGTAATAGAATTAGTACTCTACAGTCTTTTCCTTACATAATTTTTTTTTTCATCAATTAAGTTAATTAATATGTAGATTGGCCACCCTAAAGAGTTCCTAGCTTTAGAAACTCTTTATGGAGGCCACTTTGCATCATTGATATTTCATGGTCAAGATATTGAAAATGTAAGCAAGTTCATGATTCCTTAACAGAAGAAAATAGAGGAACTTGGACAGAGGAGGAGGTTCAACGTTTGAATGAAGCTGTCCATTATATTACGAATACTTCCGAAGGAGAGGCAGTTTATCATGACATTTATTGGCCGGCTGTGTCGCAGATGGTCAAAACAAGGGGTCCTGATAAGTGTAGACAAAAATGGTAAACACCCTCAACACGGAAAATATTAATTTCAAATATCAATCCTTCATGTCGTGCTTTTAATTCCAATTATTTTTTTTCCACGAGAGGAGGCGAGGTGAGGGGTGGGGTGGGGTGGGTGGGTACAGCACAGCTGAGTGCGAACAGCACTAACGGGACGTATAGTTTTGTGATCCTGCATTGGTTCAAGTTTTCCACCCAGCTACTGCCTGCATTTGTCCTCAGTTGTTGCAAATTTACGGATTCCATGCCATTCAATCCTTGCTAACCCCATCCATGCTAAAGTATTTTCGCCGCGAATATTACCCATTGTAACGTCGGCAAACTACCATTTTTTTTTCTTTTAGTATCCAGGCACATTTTTGTGTCCTAAATACGAGACAGTTCATTTTGAACTGAAATTTTGAAAAGAAAAGAAATTTCCGAAAGATTTCAAAAACCAAGGTCGAGCACCACTCGCCTTGTCGCTCGCGTTCTCCTGAGTTTCATCCAGTTAGCTCCCCCACCCCCC